CGCCAAAGCCTTCGGTGGCCACAGCGGCAGCCGGTTTCCATGGCAAAATAAGGTCGGCAGAGAGACCAGAGATCCAGCGAGAGAAAAACCAGGAGAGAGACCGTCGCAGATGGACGGAGAGAGAGAAACACACACGTGGGCACACGCACGCACACACACTCAAAGATACTGAGAAAGTGCTTAGTGAGAGTCCCAGGGTAATGAGAGAAGGAAAAGAAACTAACCAGAGAGCGTGCAGGCTTGAGAACCGAGACAGGCGAGAGGAGCAGTAGAGCATCAGAGGGGAACAAGGTCCAAAGGGGAGATACGGGCAGACAGCGATACAGAGACACGCGGGGAGAGACAGAGCCCACAGCGGGAGACAGGGAGAGAAGAGGAACCGGGAAAGACAGATCAAGAGCACACGTGCCAGTGAGACAGGAGGCACACAGAGAGTACCGAGGTAGACGTGGAAACAAGAGTTGGCGAGATGCAGAGACACACAGCTAACCAGCAATGCTAGGGACCCTCAGCGACGGGCTGTCAGAGAAATGGACTGAAAGAGCAATGGAGAGGCGCGTCAGCATCGCGGACAGAGGGAGAAGCACAGGCAAATGACATAGTGAGAGAAAGAGACACAGAGAGATGAGAGCAAATCGGAAAGAGACAGAGGGACAGGAACAAAACTGGGAGAAGGACGAGAAGAGAGAATAAGAGAAGCCCATACATAGCTGGAAAGTAAGTGCACTAGGGAAACAGACACACAGACAGGGAGACAGAGAAACAGAGGGAGAGACAGGAGTAAGGAGCACAGAGACCAACACGTTATCACGTTATCGCTATCTCGCATGCACACGTTATCAGGAGACTGAGAAGCAGAGACTGACCACTGCCTGAGACACAAAGATGAGAGAGAGTGAGGGGAAACCGTGAGACCAAGGCATTCAGAGAATATAGAGAAAGTGTCCTGGGAGAGCAACAGAAACCCATCATTGTAAACAGATAGGATAGAAAGCGCACGCGCATGCGCTAATGGAAGCGCTAGCTTGGAGAGACCAAAACTCGGAAACCCAGAGAGTATAGGAGATTCGCAGAGAGCGCGTGCACACGCGCCAGCAGAAGAGAGAGAAGAAAAGGAATTAGAGACCCAGAAAGGGGCAGAGAGACCCAGAAAGCCAGTGAAGGCAAAGAAGCTCCCTGAATGGGGACTGGCACTGTGCAAAAGCCGTGGGGATAAGGGGATCCTGCAGCGTTCTGCTGGGCTGGGCGGGAGACAGCTCCTCTCTGTTGGGCACTAACCCCGCCTGCGTGTTTCTTTCGCCCCCAGCATAGGCACTGAGTGCGGTTAGTGGGCCCTTTCGCCGGAGGACAGGTGCCCGTGCTGAGCCTGCACCCTGCCTCCTGCCTGTCCACGTCGCGATGACGTCCACCTGCACCAACAGCACTCGAGAAAGCAACAGCAGCCACACGTGCGTGCCCCTCTCCAAAATGCCCATCAGTCTGGCTCACGGTATCATCCGCTCCAGCGTGCTGCTCATCTTTCTCACCGTCTCATTCGTGGGCAATGTAGTGCTGGCGCTCGTGTTGCAGCGCAAGCCACAGCTGCTGCAGGTGACCAACCGCTTCATCTTTAACCTCCTCGTCACCGACCTGCTGCAGATTTCGCTTGTGGCCCCCTGGGTGGTGGCCACCTCTGTGCCTCTCTTCTGGCCCCTCAACAGCCACTTCTGCACAGCCTTGGTTAGCCTCACCCACCTGTTTGCCTTTGCCAGTGTCAACACCATAGTTGTAGTGTCCGTGGATCGCTACCTGTCCATCATCCACCCTCTCTCTTACCCATCCAAGATGACCCAGCGCCGTGGTTACATGCTCCTCTATGGCACCTGGATTGTGGCCATCCTGCAGAGCACACCCCCACTCTATGGTTGGGGTCAGGCTGCCTTCGATGAGCGCAATGCCCTCTGCTCCATGATCTGGGGAGCCAGCCCCAGCTACACCATTCTCAGCGTGGTGTCCTTCATCGTCATTCCATTGGTCGTCATGATTGCCTGCTACTCAGTGGTGTTCGGTGCAGCCCGGAGGCAACATGCTCTGCTGTACAACGTCAAGAGCCATAGCTTGGAAGTGCGAGTCAAGGACCATGTGGAGAATGAGGATGAAGAGGGAGTGGAGACGGATGAGTTCTGGGGCAAGAGCCAGTTCCATGGCCAGGATGAAGGTGAGGTCAAGGCCAGCAAGGGTAGTCTGGAAGCCAAAGTCAGCAGCATGGAAGCCAAGAACGACAGCATGAAGGCCAACAAAGGAAGTGTGGAGACCACTGAGGGTAGTGTGGAAGCCAACGGCAGTGAGGAAGTCAGAGACAGCAGCATGGTGGGCAGCGAAGGTAGTACGGAGGGTGAAGGAGGCACTGAGGTTGAGAGCGGCATGAAGGCAGATAAGGGTCGCACAGAGGTCAACCAGTGCAACATTGACTTAGGCGAAGACGACATGGAATTTGGTGAGGACAACATCCATTTCAGTGAGGATGATGTCGAGGCAGTGAACATTCCAGAGAGCCTCCCACCCAGTCGTCGAAACAGCAACAGTGACCCTCCTCTGCCCAGGTGCTACCAGTGCAAAGCTGCAAAAGTGATCTTCCTCATCATTTTCTCCTATGTGCTATCTCTGGGGCCCTACTGCTTTCTAGCAGTCCTGGCCGTGTGGGTGGATGTCCAAACCGAGGTACCCCAGTGGGTGATCACCATAATAATCTGGCTTTTCTTCCTGCAGTGCTGCATCCACCCCTACATTTATGGCTACATGCACAAGACCATCAAGAAGGAAATCCAGGATATGCTGAGGAAGTTCTTCTGCAAGGAAAAGCCCCCAAACGACAGCCACCCAGACCTGCCTGGAACTGAAGCTGGCACAGACGGTGGGACTGATGGCAAGATCGTCCCTTTCCATGATTATGCTACTTCGCCATGAAGTTAGTTGTAAGGCAAACCTTGAACTGTCCACAATACAAAAAAACAAGAGCAGCTTTCTTTTCAAAGGATCACCCACATTCCCACTAAAGCCAGTCCATACCATTTTAGGCACAGCTGTTGCACACATGTCCTTTTCACCACAAGGTAGTTAAATATATGAAAGAGGTAGGAACTTGGGTCTTTCTTTAAAGGTGTCCCTCAAAGCATGGACTTGAGGATTCTGACTGAAATATTCCTCCAAAGAAATTATTAGGCTCTAAATTTCTTAAAGCAACAAGGGCTATCCATTTTGGATCTGTACTTGGGAAACTGTCTCCTCAGAGGTACAACATAGCAGCTTCAGCTTTGAGGGGAAAGGAAGATGATGCCTGCGAACTTTAAGGACTTTTCGACCCTCAAGTTAGGAGCTCATGGGCCAGGCCTACAGCTTATGTTCAACTGAAAGAAAAGCGGTGGAGTGAATCATTCTTGGATTCCAAGAAGCAGAACTTATCGGACTGATCAAAGTATTAGTCAAATTCTGAACTGAAGAGATCCACAATCTGGTGCAAAGACTGTTATGTAAACTAAGATAAAGGGCACTATACAGTTAGAATACCAAAAAGGTTTCTAAATCCCCTAAAAGTGATCCGGAAAAGTGGAAGGGCATGTATGAAATGGAAAGCCAGTTCAAGGGAAAAGAGAAATAACACACATCCAAGGGGGCTAAGCAGTTGACTTAAAAAAAAAAAAAAAGATCTGAGTTTACATATAGGCTGGGAATGAGGTCACTCCATGTACATGGAAAATTGTTAATTGACACTAAAATATTTCCTGTCTCTTACTTGAATAATAGTGAAACAAAAATCATGCCACTATTTTATAATTTTCTCTTTGTGACTGAATTGGGATGCTCATAAGACTCCTCCAGGTCTTTGCCAATCACTTGTGTTTCCTTTAGTTTTGTTTTGTTTTTCAAATAGGCCCTTTGGGTCAAATGGTATTCCCAGAAAAAGGAAATTCAAGTAGGAGTGGCCTAAGTCATACAAAACTCACACTACTGGTCAAGAGCTAGGTGGCCCATCAGAACTCTCTTTTGTGTAAGATCATAGGTAAGGAATGCGATCTCCATGTAGGGTGCAAGTAAGGCAGGATGGTCATTTGCCTTCCTCCAGGCACACTTGAGTGTCTTTTTTGCCTGTGGCTTTATCTAAAGTGTATTAGCTCTCTACAGATGTGGGAGAGAAAGAAGATGGTGTTACAGTACCTGGCAAACATTGCCCTATTCCACACAACCCTAAAAGTCAAAGCATTCAGGTCAGACATACACTAACTATGGCCTTTGAAATCTATCACTTTGGGACAATTTTTATGATGCCTATGTTATCCCGAGCGTCAATACACCGGAAGATTTTTCAAATCTCAAATGCCGTAACCACTTGGGGCAAGGATAGATCTGTAGATTTCTGAGGCCACAGGCCATATCACACGGCAAAATAAGATGGAACTCAAAAACAGTCAAGCTAGTGTTTTTGATCCTACTGAAGACCAAATTAAAGCAGCTTTATAGCCAACCAACCATCCACGCAGAAATCCACTGTTAATATGGGTATATCAGGGGGAGTATTTGGTTGAAAAATGGTTAATCAGGTGTCATGTATAAAGATGGCCATATGTAGAGTTTAGCCTCACTTCTGGGTGATTGCCATGTCTTTATTAGAACTCAAATTCCATTTACCTAAATGTCCAGCTTGTTTATATTTTCTTTTATCTCTTCCTCCTCACAGATTCCAACAAGAGCTTCTCAAGGGGGAGAGGTAAAAACAGCAATGTATTTGGAATGTGAATAAGTACACATATTGCCATGTTCATGATGAAGGAAAGGAGAAGGGGATAGAATCAAATGATATCAAGCTGACCTGTCAAGTCAGTATGTCCATGAAAATCTAAATTCCGGCTCCATTAATTTAGAACTTGTATGAATTCAGACAGGCTGTAAAGAGGTTTACCTTTGCACTATCACTTATTTTTCCACCAAAATATATAAATTGAATTAATAGTCATAAATTATACCAACTCATTGTCAAACTCTGTGAGTTATTATTCATAAATTATACCAACTCATTGTCAAACTCTTATACTGACTTGTCCTTAAAGAATATCAGAGTGAAGGAATGAACTATGCGATCAAGTCTCCTGTGGGGGGAGGGGTATTGCCTTGAAGGTCTGTCATGGTCGAAGGAGTTCAATGTAGCTATAGCCTGTCCTTTGAATAGAAATAGTTACCTAGGTAGGAATCAGGGTTTCAAACATAAGTGTCTTCAAATATTTTGTTGAAACTGAACTTCTTGTTTTATTTTTAAAGCTCAACCCCTTCAAAGTGTATCAGAGAAAATTGTTTGCCAAAATTCCAAACCAAAATGGAACCAGAACCTGTACGAGTGTGGTAAGTCCATTTAACAGCACACACAACATTTTCTAGGGCACCGAGACACAGCGGTTTCCTTTTTAAAGTTCTTCTTTTCCCTGTTTTAGTCATTGTCTATTCTTTTGGCAAATTGGGTTCTTCAAAGGTGAAGACCATTTGAAAATAGGAGACCGGAAAAACAAACCTTTAAATTAAGAGTATTCTGCTTTGATGACATGTTCTTCTTAATGAACAATAGGGCCTTTGGTTAACCTGAAGATAGCAACTACTTCAAATTTTGTGCTATTTTGAATAAAGCATGATCAACTTAATGAGATTTTACTGCACATACTGTTTTGTCATTTGAAAATCTGAAAGCGCACAAAGAAAAAGTCATCATTAGCCTCACAGATCCTCATGTGCAATAGCTTTCCCTAAATGTTTTTAAAGGATGTATTCTTTTGCCAAGGCCACTTCATATGTGCAGTAAAAAAATCCCATTAAAATACAGGGGCCAGACAAACTAGACTTTGAAATGATGTGATTTTAAATTTAATGATTTCCTTATTTAAGAATAATAGAGCATCTAGTTTGCCAAGAAGTCGCAGGTGCTTTGACTAACATACCAATTTCAACAAGCTCGGGAAGGTAGTAATAAGGAGTGAGCCCTGGGCTTCTGCCACTTCTCTGATGCGAAGGTTTATCTTCTCTAAGACGCCACAAGTACCAGCTGCTGGGAAGTCCTCTGCACTTCTGGCTCCCTGTCTACCTCACCATCATGCCCACTGCCTTCTCCTGCCTCACTCCCTCTCCCACTACTGTGCTAGCCCTTTGGGAATACCCATGCCTGATCCTCTGTGTGCTCACCCACTCCCCACCCATCCCTTCCAAACCCAGAACTGACAGATTCACAGGGACCTGGGGGCCCATGGAAGCAGGGAAGGAGAGAAGTGAGTCATAGGAGTGACCAGCAATTGAAGGTGTGTTTCTGTCTCCTCCCCAACTCCAATGCAATTTAGAGATGACGGGACACCTACTTCAAATTCAACAGGTAAGGAAAAGTGCCACATTATGACTTAGGAAGAGGTAGGCACCTCATGTTTTTATGAAAACAGCACCACATACACACATCTTGGGGGACACATTCAATCCTGTAGATACTGTCCGATTATTTCAGCAAAAAAAACACACAATAAAACTCTTAAAAATAATCTTTGACCTATAAAATTACAAGGTGCCTAACACTGCCTTACTTTATACATAATTAACCAATTAAACTAGGTAAAGTTACTTCAAAAGATTTTTTTCATACTACCTGAAGAAGAATTTATACAATTCAACTAGGCTTTCTTTCTTAGACTTTGCCAGAAAGTTTTTTAAAAGTGTCTGAAACACACCATTTGGAAGAGAAAAAATAATGCATCATCTGGTAATTTCAACTCTCTAAGCTAAAACCCTCAAGGGTTGTAGGGATGAAGCAAAGAGTAGCAATTTAAACAACTGAACTATATTTTTCTTACAGAACTGCCCTCTCCCATATTTTGAAAAAAAAAAAAAGCTCAAAAATGTTGTCCCTTCATAATGTCTTTTCTGTTTTATTCCTCTTTAAGACAAACCCGAACTGTCAAGGGAGCTTTCTCAAAGCAAAATGTCTTTTCCTTCCAGAACAGACAAAAGATTAAAGGAACAGCTGGCTGCTAGCCAGTTGACAAGATAAGGAGAGAAAATCTGGTCAGTCATGGCTTTTAACCCTGTCTTTCCTTATCTCTGTCTCTCTCCTATTTTCTATGGGCTGGACTGGTGCTCCTGGCCCCTCAAAGCCCCTTGAAGCTTAGGCCTGAGGAGACAGAAGCAATGAGCTAGAAACATGAGACCATAGCCTAAAACCAAAAAAAGAAGAGAAACCCTTGTCATAAATTCTTCCCGATTACTTACAATCTCTTCCTCTACAGCAAATGCCCAGCTTGCTTACAGCAGTCCTCTGCTATATGCCACAAAACTGGCTGGAGGAAGAAATATAGGAAAGCTAAAATCCACTGAACTTGGCCACTGACTGCCAACCAGGTCACTGGCAAGTTCACTGCTCTTTAATAGGTAGTACAAGAATCCTCAAGGTAAATGAAGGTTGCCAACGGGAGTCAGGTATTTCCATCAAAGCCTCCATATCTCAGAGTACACCTACCCAGGGGGAAATCACAGTAACTTGTACATTCACAGGAGGTTTGCTATGTCTGAGGATCAATTACTGTCTCTCTCTTGTTCTAAAACATAGACAAAAACGAGATTGGACTTAGTTCGGTGCTTCAAACTTGAGTGGATTTTCCCCCTCTCTTCATCCCTGTTATAAATTTTGTGTTCAAAGTTTGGTACTTTTGTCCTGTGGTGTGTTCCTCTTTATAGTAATTCTCCTAAATATAAGCTATAATTGTGTGTAAAATGTGAGTGTTCTTGGAGATAAGGTGCTAGATATTAGATTGTGTGCATTCGTAGATAGTATCATTTCAAAATTGGGTAGTATGTACATGTGAAGTTAATTAATAAAATGCATGCATGATTCTATGTGTGACCCACACCTTGGTCAGTTTCTGAAGTAGAGCATAGTACATTTATTTGCTGTTGAGATGTTATTTTTAAAATGTATACTACAAAATATGTAGGATGGCTATAAGGTCAGGTGGCAAGAAGTGGTGCCTTTCATTCCTTAAATCCCTGGTACAATATAGGACAGGCGAGAATTTATTCTGAT